TCTAAATATTGAAATGGAAAAGTATCAAGGCCACCTCATTCGAGAGCAACTCCTACTGAGTAGAAAAAAAAATATTCAACTTTTTTTTGCCAAAATATGGTCATGAGGTGGATAGTACAGAACAGATTTTAATTTACGACGAAATAGATAAATACGTGTGCTTTTTTCCATTAGAACAGCACTATCTATTATTCAGAATGATTCAATTGGAAGCCGATAAACGTTTATACTATTCCTAAGGAAATGTGCGATGCAAGAAATGTAAAAATTCTAGAGAAACTAATTTTATGGGGATACTTGTTCATATGTAACGCACAAAATCTTTTAGACTGCTTTTAATTATAGAAATATCAGTTTCATACTGAATTTATCTTCACATATCTGTCACATATTGGTGTCAATCGAATTTAAAATAGATGCCTCGAACTATTAAATAAAAGAATTGATGGATGCTTATACGAAATTTCAATTTAGATTAGAACACTAGATTCTATACAATGGTCCCTGCCAGGCGTCTATGAGGTTTACAGCAAGGGATATTTTAATGCACTAGCCATTGTTATATTCATGTAGCTTTTCATTGTTGTATTCGACATGTTTTTTTGAGTATATGAATGAAAGAAATACTTGTTAAATATTTATCTCTCATTTTTAGCTCTTGTGCTGAAAAGTATGTCGTAAAATATAAAAGAAAAAAGAGGCATCCATTTCACAAAATTTGACTCCTTTTTTTTTAAATATCATTCGAGAACAATTATAAAAGAAGTTTTAAATTTGTTCTTATTTTGCAATGTAGAGTTAAAGTATTATCCTCAACATCTGTGTCCTTTTTGTTTAGAAACGTTTGCTTCGTCTTTGGTTCGATAAAAAGTATAGAAAAGAACCACGGAGCATCTGTTCCAAGTTAAATGCAGTTGATCATTATCTATCTTCAATAAAGTATCCGTCATAATTGACGCCTATTGTACATCAATTGTTTTTAGGCGTATTTCATATTTTTCGAACATCTCGGCTGATATTATAAGCATAACGAATTTTCTAAAGCTCTACAATAAGAAAAATAAATTGAAAGTTGAAAAGCACAAGAAAAAAAATCAAAATCATCGAAACTAAAAAATAACTAGGCACTCATGTATATTTTTTGTATACCAATCACATTAAAAGCATCTTAACGTAAAATTATGTATATCGACAAAATAGTCAATGGCTCTGAATACGCTTCTTCTCATAAACTAAAGGAAAATCAAAAGGGATTTCGTTCTTCCAGAAAACGATTTCTCAAAATATTTTGAAAACAAAAATCGCTGCTACTTACATTTAAATAATATTTCTCTCCACTGAACATCTGTTGTTTCGATTGAAGAATAGACGAGTGAGAAAAAACCTACCTGCATGCTTTTGGGATGTGTCTGCACGTGACCATAAGTTCAAAAAGCGATTAATCGAGTCTTTACCTTTACATATGTGAGACTCGATCCTATTCTAGATGCGTCCAAGCGCGACCATTGATTTAAATGCATCCAGACGCGTCTTTGAAACGCGAGTGAACGATGCTGTCACTTCAGACGCGTTCAATGGCATGTTTACCTTATACAAATATGAAACGCGTTTCTCTTAGACATGCGTCTGGACGCAGCTATTAATCTGAACGCATCTCGATGCATCTTTAAAACGCGATTGAACGCGGCTGTAACTTGCTTATTCTAATGGGAAAGGGAAAGGAGCTGAATGGTTAATAAACTGATGACATTACAGCTGAGTGATCCTTTTGTAAAGAACACATTAATACTCGTTTCATTAGCATGCTTATATATATGTCTTTACGTCATCTTGGCCATTCATCGAGAGACGTCGAGTCATTTTTAACATCAATCGGTGGTATGACTATAAAAACATGTCACAAATGGACCAATATTTTAGTAAACAAAGATTTCGATGAATTCACAATTGAAGAGAGAGGTAGAAAAAGAGGTGATTCGTTTTGGGATTGCTATTCAGATTTAGAATTAGAAGCAAATCAATTTGTTTATCAAGAATGCTCGAAAACAGACGCAACATTTGCAGCCGAAACTTTGGCACGATTTATTGAGCAACTTTTTTATGAATTAAATAATGAGAAGAAAGTCGATCAACAATTAGTCAGATCACTCGAAAGTTGTAAATTAGATTTACGTCGATTTGGTGCAAAATACACAGCAGATTCAAGTCGACCATACTTTCTTGGGTATGAACGAGAAGATGTAGTGAAACATCGAAAAGAATTTGTCAAATACTTCATTGAACATGAGCAGCATTTTTATACAATTACAAATGATGTGGTACCACAGTGGAAAATACCAACAACAGACCCAATAATTTTGCTTTGTAAGTGTTTCCTTTTCTTTCTTCATCTCAAAACTCGTTGATATGTTCATTGTTGCTTTCCTCTGTTGTAGGTCATGATGAAAGTGCATACAAATGTGGAGAAATTACAGCCGAACGATGGATCATGCCTGATAATGCGCCGTTTTACAACAAAGGCAGAGGAAGAAGTATAATGTGTTCGGATTTATTAGTAATGCATCCAAGTGGACCATTCTTTTCGTTGACCGACAAAGAGTATTCGGAAGCATTGAAAAAAATATCCGAATTTAAAGTATGATTGTGATATAAATTATGAAAAGAATAGTGTTTCTGCTACAATCAATCTAGGTGGCGATAATTATTTTAATAATAAAAGTATTCTGAATCAATTTAAACGTCTATTTCAATTATTACCATTCAAAAAGGAATATAAAAATCATAATTTCGTATGCCTCGTCGACAATTCCAGAACGCATACAGCAACTGAAATCCATATAAATGATTTTGGAATGAGACCAGGGACCCGGTGTCCTGTTGATAAGATCGATTATATTTATGAAAATAATAAAAAAACAAACTATTGAATGTTATGATGATGATGGAAATAGTAAAGGTTTTCTGGCTTTGGCATATGAATTGAAAGTCTTTGTCCCAAGAAACTGTAAACTCAATGATTTAAAATTCTTGTCATCGCAACATGCAGCTTTTAAAAGCGTGAGTACAGATTCATTTTCCTATTCAGTATGATAAGTGATGCATGTCTTTGTTTACTCTTTTTCAATTGTAGATCAGCAAACTTCAGAAATTAGCCGCTGAATATAATGTCAAAATAATCTTTTCGCCGAAGTATCATTGTGAAACTAATCCCATTGTAGGATATTGGTGTCACTCAAAGCAATACATCAGAAAACATACAGATCAAAGTTTTCAAAAATTAGCACCTTTAATGCCTGAAGCAAAAGCAAATTTTATTCAAAAACATATTCATCTCGAACTTTTTCGTCGATTTTGGAGAACGATGAAAGCATACGATCAAGGAAAAGATTATGTTGAAGTATCGACAATGTTTTTTAGTAGATTGTGTAACGATTAAATCATCAGTCATCGCAAAGTGACAAATACTAACATTGACAATTAAAACGTATAATTCCGTGTATGCTTAATTTATTCTATTACTATTACATTCATCTATTCTATTTTTTAGGTTCTCATTCGTGTTTACCTATTTTTTTATGCCATGTCAATAAAAGAAAATAAAAAATACCCCAAAAACCTCAATGCTAATGAAATTTTGCACAATGAACTTTTATCAGCCGTCTGATTAGACATCGGAACCTCTGAAACCACTTCTATTGTATTCTAAATCGTTTTTTTATCTATTATACCTTATTTCTACGAGTTTTGAATGAGAAATGTATTTTTATTGAAAAATCACTAGGCCGGTTTTTTCAATGCTAACGTTGTAGACGCCTTCTCTCAGTATAGGAAATGATATTAAAAAAAATGAGTTATACTTTTGTAGCTCTTCGATTGGCGCTTCGAATGATGTATGAGTGGAAGCTCTATCTATCAGCAAAAAAAACTAGATAGATTTTCAAAATGAACTAGTACAAAATGAAGCGATGCTAAAAGCTGGTTTGTCAGGTTGAACATGTAATATCCGATAAAGCTCTAGATAACGTTTTAAAACTCATTTTCCTACAAGGAGTTCGAAAATCACATTGGCGAGAGCAAAAAGTGGAACAGGAAAGAAATAAACGTTGTTTTTTGAAAAGTAATTTTTTGTGCTGATTTTTAGACCCTCTCAGTTTTCTGCGCTTTTCTCGGTGAAAGCTTCGTTAAATCGAAAAAATAAGTAGATATTCGTGATCAGCTTGAAAAGGCACATCTAATGATATGCATTTAGGCAAAAAATAAGAGCTGCTGTAATTTTGCATTACCCGCACCTTATGTATGCTTTTCTAATTATATACTGTTATTGATCATCAGCTCATTTTGATTTTATCAAAGCAATAATTAAATTATATGTCAAAATTCGTTTTAAATTACTAAAAAACCTATTACCAAATTGATACATGAGCATCCATAGATTTAGTAATTCTTTTCTAACTATTTTGATTTCAAATGTTTAAGTTCAACTTATACTATTGACATATACTTAATCACATTATTGATAAATAATTAATTGAATAAATTATTTTAAATTAAATTAAGAAGAAAATTCTACAATTCATTGATATAATATTAATTCTAATGAATTTCCTGAATTTTCCTAAAGATGTTCAGAACTCCTGCACGTCTTATAATTAAATTATGTTGATATCGAAGTCTACAACAATGATTAGTAGTTGTTCAAATATATTCAATACAATATATTTTATTACTAGAGTAGAATTGTCGTGAGTCATTGATACCAGTTCATGTATATGCTCCTAATATAATAGATAATATTCTACGAATACTTGATTATTTCTTATTACATAAGCTTTTATTGATGGTGTATTATTAATAAGATAATATTTGTTTAGTTAGAGTGTGAGTGTGGTTGGAGAAGAAAGGCATCTACCCATACCCAGCCACATCAGCACTCACACCCACACTCTCAATAGTTGATGTATCCTCAATAAAAAGTGCAAGAAATGTTCGAAAACGAGTATACTATTCAACAAATTTTTCATTATCACAAAGAGGGTGATTAACATGATGAATTAAATACGATATGAATTTGTCACCTTTTAATTCATATGTTTAGAATTGATCACCAAATGGTAAATATTCATGTTCATGTTGTAATTTTGATAAAAATAAGTCAAGATTTTTGTTGTTGATGGTATCAAATGATTTAATGATTCAATTATGTCATCAACCTTCAAATAAAAGAAATTCATTAGAGGAAAAAACATTTCTTTTATTAACTTTAAATTCTTGATTATTTTTCAAATGATTTTTTCCATCATAATTAACAGATAAATAATTAATAATAATCTTAAAATTTTTATATTCGTATATATATCTTTTTTACTAAAAAATCTTTTTGAATATATAACTAATTTATGTTTTTTACTTACTGCTGATCAAATAATAAATAAATGTATTTAGGTTCAAATTCAATATTATCATTTTTTAAATCATTTTCAAGATTTAATTTATTTTAACTTAATAAAATTTGGAAAATCTTAATCATTAAATTCATTGGAAGAACTAAAATGAAAAAATAGTTATTATTATTTTTCGAGATAAATGCATTGAAATATTCTAGTTTAAAATTGTATCCATTGAAATGATTTTAGAAAAATTTGTTAATTTGATGTTCGATCTTCTTTTTTCTATAGATAAAAATAACTGATTTACTTCGAGCTAATTGGCGATGAAGGAATCTGTTGACTTTGATTTTCATATCATATCCATTGATAATCATCTTCTTTTGTTCATAAGATATTGAATTCCATATATACTAAATTCACTTTCTTTATTTTAGGTCCACATTCAATAATCAATAGACCTTTCTTGAACTTACAATTGTATAAAAATTGAAGACTAGATGAATCAATGAATTGACAATCACCAAATAAGCATAAAGTTATCGAAGGCAATAAATTTAATATTAATTTTTTTTTCAAATCTTTTTTTAATTCTGAAGCATATCTATTCATAATTTAGTTGTTTTCAAGAGCATGATTGTAAAAGGCATTTGAATTTTGCAGGAAGAAAATTACACTTATTTTCACACATAACGTGCTAGACTTGTCTATCTATGATGATAAGTTTATTATAGATTCGAACAAATGTCATTGATATGAGTGCAAAAAAAGTCTTTGAAAAAGGACCAGTTTATAGAACTTTTAACTTTCAGACATATATTTCTTTTTATTTTAATCGATTTTGAGAAAGAATTAGTATCTCAATAGAAATGAAAAGAAAGATAAATAATCTTGTTTTTTTTTCGTTTTTATATCAGCTTACCAAGTGCTACTCCTTGTTCTTCTTTTATAGTTATAGATCATCCATATGTACTCAGCTTAATAATAACTGTACGATTCACAAGTTTATCGCGTAATAAAAAACAATTCTTGTCATAAAACGAAACCACATCATTATATATGAATTAACTTGGATTAATTAAAAGAGATACAGCATTTCGTTCTGGTTTTCTAGTTGTACTTGTACCATTACCAACGAATAATCTTAACTCTCTAAAATCTTTCATAGTAACTTTTGATTTAGTTATTATTGTAAGATATGTTGTTAAATCTTTGGCAAAGCGTATTAATAATAATTTCAAGTTGTCTAACAATTCTTCACCTCTTTTAAGACAAAATGAATTATGATACAAATATGTAAAATCAACAGTTTTGCGAGTACTATCAGTTTAGAAAAACAAACAGGTGGCAAGATGATTGTTACACCTGATTGACCCAAGAAAACGCGAACAATCCTGCTAGATATCATTTTCTTGAACAAGAATCGAACAATTATTAAATTAATATTCAATAAAAATAATAATAAGGTTATCGATACTTAGTATTTTGATCAATCAAATTCTTTTATTATCTAAAATCAAAATAAGAACATTGAACAATTTAGAAGTAAAAATAACATCAATTGAAATAAGAAAATTTCTTTTTCTTATACCATTTTATGCTACGATCATAATCAAACGAAATATGGTTCATTCATTTTCGGTAAGTATTCGTTCATTGATTTTGTCGATTCTTTCTTTTCATTTGCAATAGTAGAACAAAAGAAGAAAGTACATGTTTTCTCAACTTGTCTTATTTTGTTTTTTGTTTTTGCGTTTTATTGTTACACTCTGAAGTGCTTAGAAAGGGAAAAAAAGAAAGGGTGTGGGTGTGGGTGTGGATGTGAATGTAGACGTTTTATGTTCATAATCGTCGACAGGAACACTCGTACGCCCACACCCACACCCTCACATACAAATCGAGTTTTGGGAAACTTGGCTTTTTAGGAGTCGTATGAGGCGAAGATATCGAATAAATAGCCAATGAGATGCAAAAATTTGTTCGTCATAGATATCAACTCCTTTGATTGCTGAAGGGTCTATTCCACCCAAATCTTTCTGTATGTCTTTCTTTGGCATCAATCGAAATTCAGTGTGATTCCAGTACTACAAAGTATGATATATCGTCGTAATTCTCCCGATCAATAGGTATTGTGAACAAGACGTTTTAGATCAATAAGATACATCCTTGTGCTTAGTTTCGATCATAGCGGATTTTTTTTGCAACACTGTCGAAGAATCGATTATTCATGTTGTCTTCCCACTAGAAACACAACTAGATAGCTCCTGAACCGGGAACGTGACCAAGTACAATAGAGATCAGTTAAGATCGGAGATGATCGAGACAAGTATGTGCTCTTATAAATACTTGATCAAGATAAAAAGTCGATAGAACTCATATGTTTCATCAAGCTCTTCCGGATCTAGATGTGTAAGGACAAAGAATCGTTTACTTCTGATCAATTTTTCAATATCATTATACCATATCGGGCGAGAGCGAGAGTAGTCGGGCCGAAGCATAAAATACGCCCAAGAGTCAGAACCAGGACCTGAATAAAATATAGGATTTTATGCGTGTCTACTTCACTGATTAGGTTTTCTTACATGTTCTCGAGCGCAGTAGTTTTACTAGCTTATATTAAGACTGCACTTTCCCCAGGCAACGCCAGGTACTTCCGCTAGTATATAGATAAGGATAAGTATTTAAAGACAAAAAAATATTATAAATACACACTAAAATAAAATGTGCCGCATATATGTGTCGTAGAAGAATGTGTCGTACAAAAATGTGTCGCATTATACATGTGTCATAGCCTATATATCAATCGTTCATTCACCGTTTTGTTTCGCGAGTGCAGCTGCATATAAACGAGCCTATTGAACACACTTGACTTTACATTTTCATATGTCTTCTTTTTCTAGATTATTTCTCGACCATTTAGTATTCGAGAACATATCGAGAGGTCGCTAGATGATCGAGAATGGACTGCCTCGAAGTGGTCTGATCGAGTTCAAATGGCCTCGAGACAGCTAGATCTGAAGATCCACTGTCTTGAACTGCAAGAATAAGTCCTACTATTTGAAATTAACTGAAAAAATAGTAACTATTTGAATTTAAAAAAAAATAATCCTCATGCCGAAAAATGGATTCGAACCACGTGTTAAAAATGTGTCGCGTGTGTCGAACAAGAATGTGTCGTACGTCCGCTGGAAGAAATGTGTCGCAACAAGCTCCTCGTGTCGCATATTAATGTGTCGTACATTGTGTCGCAAAGTACGACACATGCGACACATTTTATCTTAGTGTGTATTATATAATATGAAGGTAATGCAGTGTTAAATAATTTTGAAATAATTGAGTATAAGACTGCAACAAATATCATGTTTGATTTTAAACAAAAATCAGAATTTTATTTATTCGAGCTTTCGATAAGATACACTTATCATCATCAGGAACAATAGAAAAAGAACAAATTACAATACATATATAAGAAAAACGAAGAGAAAAATGATATTAAGGTTATTGATTGTTGTTGATGGATCTAATTTAATCTATATAATAATTCGAAAAAAATGTTTATTAACTTTCTCCAGAATGTGAACCCGTATGAGTTTTAACATTTTTTTCTTATACTGGCAACAGTATATTGTGAATGGCAAGTATTACATTTAATCACAGTTAAACGATCTGATTTTCCTAATAACGTATCTGGAGAACGACAGGACTTGCAAAACACATACTCTTCTAAACAAAAATAAAAGACATAAACGATTCCAAATTTTTCTTCGAAAAAAAATTAAAATTCTCTTACTAATAAACGAACGAAGAACATTTTCTATATGAGTTTGTTGAAAACGTCCTTTTATAATTAGAGCATGATTTTTATCGATAGATGCTCTAAATAAAAGAAATTCAAAAGATTAAATAATGATAATCGATTTTGTTACATACGTTGTACCCAATTCAACTATAAAATATTCATGTAATTGTTTTTCTTGTCGATGAACTCTAAAAATTAAATAAATTGTTTTTTTTTGTTTTTCATTCATAGAAAAATATATAATCAAATAACTTACAATTTACATATTAAAGCAAAGTTTACGAATGCTGTACGTCTTGTACCAATGCGTCCAACTTGTATCGGCGGAAGCATTAACGTACATTTAGTTTGCTCGGTTGTGGATGGTTTTGATTCATAAATAGCTTCAAATGCTCGATTAATTAACTATTAAAAAAAATTATCTAATTTAATATTTAAGACAAACAATAGCATAGTTGAACTCAAATTTTACTACATAGATTATAATTATACATGCAATAGTAGTGATAACCATTGATGTTACTGTAGAACTTTTCTCGATTCTGAAAAATTTCAATCGATTCTTATAAAATTCAGTTATTTTCTTGCAATATTCTTTCTGATCGAAATTAATCCTAATTAGACTTACATAATCGTAAGTATAATCGCTGTTGTCTCCTGTTGTATCATTCTTAGTTTCATCTTCAGCCACATTATTTGTAGAATTTGCTGTGGCTGGTTGTTCAGTACGTGTACCACGGCTAGTCCGATTTTTAGATTTCTTTTTCTTCGTTAAATCGAAGAATGTCTAAAGAGTAGATTATTACAAACATAAATGATTTTACGAAAAAGAAAAACCAATGAACTTACATCGTCTGTTTGATTTTCAATAGTAGTCATCGTTTTTTTGCTTTTTGTATTTAATTAATCTAGAAAAATATATTAGAATATATCAGCGCTTATTCTTTGTGATATATAATAAATTTTCATGTTTAGTATAGCCATTGGTGGATTTTGGATTTCGAAAGGAGGATATGATCGTAGGTAAAAAAACAGCATTTTGGAATGCATTCGACGTGGCATGAAATTTTCTATTAGCTGAGAAAAATCGCAAAAATTTCCTTGAAGAGGAGTGCGATCGACCGCCTGAATATAGCCATGAAACGAGTAGAAAAAAGCTTATACTGCACATCTCCACCTTGATACTTTCATGCTTAGACTCTTTTAGCTATAAAAACTTTGTAGGATAAAAGAGCAAGCGTACAGTAAAATTTAGCGAGTCCTTCTTCAGCAGGGTAGAGAAAAAAAAGGGATCTTTACGCTCAAACAATGATTTTTCATATTTGTCTAAAACTATATCTGAATCATTCTACGAGTTTCTAATAATAAATGAATACTGTATTTATAATTTAATATTGATGATGCAATACAATGAAACTTATTACACATATTGCATGAATGGGAAAAAACCCAACATTGCCTCATACTGACCTCTATGATTACGATAGGAAAACAATAATTTCTTTTTGTTCTATTAAAATATTTCAATAGATTATCTTCCAATTTTATTTAATATTAAAACTAAATATGAATTTATTTCTAATTATTTATATATCATGAATTCATGATTTCAATTGTTTACTTTCTCAATCTATATTATGTTGACATTTTATTTATTTGCTTAGACCCCGTCTACACCACTGAATTAATACAGTATTAACTTCGTTTTAAAACGATGTGCGTCTCCACTTATAAGTTAATGCACCAATCAAAGTCACTGATGTGTCTCGATTATTCATATCTATAGTGTATACATAACACATGACTACACTTTGATTTTGTGCTTTCTGCTTAGGTACAGAGGGGTTACTCGGGTTATCGACATAGCTATGGCTTTCTTGACAAGAAAGAAGCGTCTTTTAAATTTTGAACTATAGTTGAACGTTTTAGGACGAGAGTTTTGAACTGGATCGTCTCATCATGACATAAGAATGCATGTCACTTTCTAGACGAAATATCAATCAACACATAATAGCTAATTATATCTCTGATTAGAATTATGTGAAAAAAAACATGCAACAGTTTTTAAGTTAAACGTAATTTTATTCCTAACAGCAGTTTTAAGGCATTGCATAAAATAAAAAATCATGACGATAAGAACACCATACAATGGAAAATAATAATAACAACAAGTATAACAATAAAAAATATAACCACCAAAAAACATAAAAGAATAAAAAAATAATATTAATTACAACGGTTTTTTTGAAAAATAGTCAGCTAATGTGTCTCTCATATCAGCAGCACCTGTTGTTCTTAAATGACAGACTGGTTTTGTATAAGCTTGAACATTTACATTCCATTCAGTTTCTATTCCATCTTGAGCATCAATACATATGTTGTGTAATATACATACGGCTTTGATTATAGTCTTTACATTTTCAAGACTGTATTCCATTTTTTTGTGAATAGATCTGAATCGATTCTTTAAATGACCAAAAGCTCTTTCAATCGTGCATCGAGATCTACTAAGTCGATAGTTGAATAAAGATTGATTTTGAGGCATATTAGGACGATCAATATATGGCTTCATCAAACTTTTGCTGAGTGGAAAAGCAGAATCCCCACCGAGATGACTCTGAATATTAAAATTATTGTGCGTAAAATATGTTTGAATATAAACTGGATTTTGCATGACTTCAAGCAAAGTTGAACGGGTATAAACAAATGCATCATTTCACCTGCCAGGTGCACCAATGTTAACATAACTAAATTTTAAAGATGCATCAACAACAGCTAATAATATCACCGAATGGTGTTTTTTGTAACTAAAGTAATCAGTTTCTTCACCAGTTGGTGGCTCAATACTTATGTGTGTTCCATCGACAGATCCTATACACATAGGGTAACCATATTTATTTAAAAAATTATCAGCTCTTTGTTGTATCTCTTGAACAGTAACTGGAAATTTTATTAAACGATTAAAAAATAACTGAACAACAACATTACAGAACTCATGCAAAATTTTTGCCACAGTTGATTTTCCAATCCCGAACAAGTGAGCAACAGTTCTTAGTTCACTTGTTGAACCAAGTGAGTACAAAGCGCAAGCCAAACGTTTCTCAACAGGAATAGAAAAACGTAATTTTGTATCTTGTTTTTTCAAATATTGGTCAACTTGATCAAATAACGTTTTAAACATTGATCTTTGAATTCTAAAATTATCCTTGAATTGTTTATCATTTATTTGAGGTACAATATGTGACCACCAATAACCACTTTTTGAATAAGACCATGTGGTACGATGATGTTTTATGAGAGATTGATTAATGAAAGAATTCAATTGATACATAAAAATATTACGAAAAAACAATGCACGTCTTTTTTTACGTTTCTGGCGTTCATATTCAATGTTAATTTTTGATATTTGATAATTAAGCGAATGCTTTTTCTTTAAATATGAATAGACTAAACTGAGGAAGACTGTTTTGTCCATGATCTAGAGAAAAGTTAAAAGCAATATTTGGTAAGTTTCAAGATTTGAAGAAGCGGAGAGTATTTAAGAAGAATCCTTAAGTATCACATTTCTTATGGCAGGAGATATCTGTCCTGCCATAAGTATGTTCTCTCTTCTCTTTCGGTTTCAATCTATCACGTTTACAATCATTCCATTCCTCTTCTCGTATC